GATCTGCAAGATTCTGCAATTTTTATTGGCTCCGAGCTAATTTTTGTACATCGATTTTCTTGACATAAGGGAATCCCGATAACGCATTAAAATCATTAGATTAGATATTCAATAAACAGATAAATACAGAAATGGTTGTGTTACGATTCTTTCGAAGTGAACTTTTGCTAATTTAATTAGATTTTCGGATACCGTATCGGAATAGAAAACTTTATACTTTCCGCTAACGATCATTTTTCGACTCCTTTTAATGTATCAATTGCGCTCCTTTGAGCGTTAGTATAAGCTTAGAACAATTGTACAATTGTTAATTTTTACTACCTTTTTGCATAAACTTTGCTATGAAGGAAGGTAATTCTAAAGTTGATCCACCTTTCTCTTCAAACGACGTTCCAATGTTGTCTGGAGAAGAAAGCAAAGTCCCACCTAACTTGACTTCACCATCAATACCTGCTCTACCTGGCGGGGACTTGGTTCTTGAACCTAATGCTGAAGAAAGAAACTTGACGTGAGTTTATTAGCAAGTTTCTTTCAGCCTTAAATGTTGCTTGATAGACTTAAAACTCTAGCGACACCATAAACATAACAGGTTGTTTTAACACAAACTATATTCTATATACTCATTTTGGGTTTCGATCGGATTATGAATCAGAGAACATCATTCTGCCCATTTTCGTGAAGACCCTGTTCGTTTTATGATGCAAATGGGTGCATTTTATCAAGGAACGGTATGTCTTAATTTTATCAAATAAATTTCAAATTTTTTTTTTTTCTCGTGTGTATAATAATTATACATTGTTGTCCAAAAAATTGTCCCACAAACTATTATTTGATATATTAGGGGTGGAGAAGCTATAGAAATTATATTGGGACTCGAATATTTTACGAAGGATATACTGAAGATTTGAAAGAACGTGTATTAAATAGCGAACGTGGTAAATATTTATTTATATCTAAGCAATGTTATATTGTGCTTATTAATTAACCCTGTTAAATTTAATTTCCGTTCTAATTTTGTTTCGTAGTTCTCTACATGATCGCTTATTTAGCTGAAAAGCAGGTCAATCTTCTTTCTCAGACATTACCAAATGCCACCCCAAAAATGATCGCTAAGCGAAAAAAAAAACTTGAAAAAGAACTACAGATCGTAGCTAACGGAATGGTAGATAAATTAATTGCTGATCTTAATAGTGTACGATTTATCAGGTTTGTTCCGCAACCTCGACAATAAATCTGAATATTTAATAGATTTGAACAATATTATCATTTCATTTTTTTTTAGAACTTTCGTCTACTTTGTCAATAATATACTGGTGAGAATGTATCATCAAGGAATACATATATCTGAACGCGAGTTTCATGAGGCAAGCTATATATATATATATATCCTTCTCTTATTATTCTATAAATTATATTTAAACGATTTACAATTGTTATCATTTTTAATTCATAAATTTTAATAATTTGACAGCTTCGACGTGTGGCTATTCATGCTGCCCAAAATTCTCAATCACTTATCATTCTTCCATGTCATAAATCTCATGTAGATTATATTGTTATTTCTTACATATTTTTCCGTCTGGGTTTGGCTCTTCCGCATATTGCTGCGGGTGATAATCTCGACCTGCCTATTATCGGTACACTTTTTAGGTGTAGTGGTGCATTTTTTATTCGACGAATGTGGGGTGAAGATCAACTTTATGGCAGTATTACAAAGGAATACTTAGAATGCTTATTAGAAAGTGGTCATAATATTGAGTGTTTCATTGAAGGAACAAGAAGTCGTACAGGGAAGCTTTTACCTCCTAAACTTGGTATTTTAAAAACCATTTTCGAATGTATATTGTCTGGCAGAACCGAAGATTGTTGGATAGTACCAGTATCCTTACAATACGATAAAGTAATTGAGACAGAAACCTACGTTAGTGAGTTGCTGGGTAATCCCAAGGAAAAAGAAACTTTATGGAGTGTTGTAACAAATAGTAGGCTAGTGCAATTGAAATGGGGTCGCATTGATGGTTTGAAATTCACTTTTATCATATTAAGTAAGTTTTGTTAACTTATATGATTGTAATGATATATGAACTCATAATAGTGCGATTTTCCAAGCCTTTTTCATTACTATCATTCATTGAAGATCAAAAAAAGCGACGAAGGTAATATTTTATATAAATTATTGATTTCTTGATTTTTTAAAACTTAATAATTTTTTTTTGTTTTCTTTTTCAAGTTATCATAATCCGTTGATCGAAGAACAAAAGATTACTTTGTTGAGGGCGCTTGGTTACCGGTACGCTTTCTTGTTTTTTTTTTTTTTTTTTTTTTAAATTAAACGAGATTTGCATTTTTATATATTTTTAAATTTCTTATTCTTATTTCACTTTAGGGTTTTATCGGACATTGTATGTCTTTTTTTAATCGAGTTTTCCAGTCTACAACTGTTGCTGATTCTTCGCTTGGATCACATTTTTACTGATCTTCACAAATAATTATATGGTTGTATTTGATAGAATTCTGTTTCAGTTGTAATGCCTACTGCTCTTGGTAATTAACTTTTATTGTGACTATATTGGATGTTCACGGTTTATTTATAAATGCACCATATTTATGTCATATAACCATCTTTCATGCAAAGTCGGGACTGTAATACTGACGCTCCGTGGTAGAGTGAGTTGTAATTATTTTGATATAATTAATACCAAACCTGTGTGAAAATGGTAAATATTCATTTATTTAAACGATAATTGCAGGGTGTTGGAAGAAATGAATTAATAAGACGTGTAGATTGGTTAAAAACTGCAATTTTTGCCAAAGGAGGACGTGTTAAAGATTTTTTCGGTATGAGTACGGCAGAAATTGTCGATCGGTAAGTTATATTGTTGTTAATCTTAAAATTTTAAGTTAATTAATTCGACTAGACTACATTATCCTTAATTATAGTGCAACTGCCGTATTAAAAGATTTAATCAAAGAAAGAAAGGATTTATTGGAACCTGTATTTTATGCAGAGAAAAGATTCGAATTAAGTTTTTACCGTAACCAGGTAAGTCTTGATATAAATTGTATATTTATACATGCTAAATCTTTTGGTTAAACAGTTTTATCGTTTTAATTGTAGGTTATGCACTTGTTTGTTTCTGAAGGTATTTATATTGTTTTTTTTTTTCATTTTTTACTTTTATTTTTTATTAGTAAATTCACAAATGTGAATTATATAAATATATATTTGATCAGCTATAATATCGGTAGCTATGTATACTAAAATAAAGCAAGGTGGAGCCAAACCAGCACAACGTTTGAACAGAGTTACCCTTTTAAAAGAAATAGAGTTCCTTTCTCAGTTGCTCAAGGGGGAATTTGTGTATAAGCCTGGTGAAATCAAGGATAATATATATAAAACCTTGATAGGATTAAAGGTAAACTTAAAATTATAATTTCTGAATTAATGAAATAGCGAATATTAACTTATAATCAAATAGAATGATAATGTAATTGATTATGATGATGAATATGTGGGATTATCCGATGCTGAAAGAGCTATTGGAAGAGAAAATTATGGTAATAGAATTATAATATTTCATTCATTTTCTTTTACTTGGTACGTCTATCATTAACGGTAAACGTATATTCAACTTATGAACTTAGATTTTTACTGCTTTTTGATATGGCCTTTTATCGAAACATATTGGCTTGCTGGTAAGTAGGACATTGTTGCTGTGTTTCAAATACATTGTTTTAGCTTTGCTTTAGCATCTCTAATCCTTATCCAAAATAGCCATAAGTCTGTTTTCTATGACCCCTACTAATCCATCTCAATCGACGACTTCGATTGAAAATAAAACCACTAATAATATTACATGGTTTAATGAAAGAGATTTTCAAAACAAATGTCAACTTTTTGGTAAAACTTTATACTATCAAGGAGATATTTCCTATTTTGAGGCAGTGAACAAGGAAACATTAAAGAATGCATTTACCCATTTTGAAAATGCTGGCGTTATCATGGTGAAACGAAGCCGCAATGTTAAAACACAACCCACTATTGCTTTAGCACCTAAATTTATACCAACAAGGAATTCTGATGGAATCATTGAAGCTAAGGGTGAGTTATGGAATTTAGTTGAAAAAATTGGAAAATTTCGAAGGGAAGGAAAAAATCGTAGAGATAATGCTACAGTTAGTTCAAGAGTATTAAAGTTAGCTGAGATGGTAGGTACTCCAACCGCAGCTGATGTAGATGTGATGAGTTTAATGAATAATAAGCCTTCAAAGGTCGGAAAACTGGAAGCAAAACTTTAGTTTCTCTAAGGTTCAAAAATTCACTATTACCACATTTTCAGGATGAATTTTAAACGTTTACACACAAAAGACTATAGGTTCAAAATTATTTTCCAACATTTTTAATCAGGTTTATTTAATATACTGTATAATTTGGTACATTGTTAAATATTTATTTATACGTAAAAAAAAAAAAGTTATATTAATGGCGGTCTCGATAATACTTGTCGAAATTTAAGATTTTTATATTGTTTTTGTTTTAACGCCATAATATCGTGTATCATTGTAATAAGACCACAATGATACATTGTTAAATTATTTAATAAATTCTGCTGCATAATAATACTAGGCTATTTTATGAGGAATTTACAAATAAGGGCTCGGAAAGTGAAAATAATAATTATAAATATAGACATTTAGAGTTATCTATATACTGATTATTAGATAAAAGGATAGATGAAGTGCTAGTTATAATCATTTTCGCTTAAATATTGCATAAAAAATGGCATTAAACTAGCATAGTTATTCATAAGGCGAAGTTTCAACAGAGTAGCTGAACGAGCATCTTCCATATTAGTAAATGTCATGCCAATTCGCAATGTTTACTTGGCATCATAGTGGTATGTTATAACAATAAGCAATTCATACAAAGAAAATTAAATTTATTAAATTTAATTCTTATTTATAACTATTAATTTACAATCGATCGTTACATTTTTATGCGATGCTTACGTTTCTTATACTAATAACGATCAAGCCAATAGCGTCACGGTTATTTTATTTCATATTTAAATTTTACCTAAAGTTTATTATAACCTGTCAACACTTAATTATTCTTTGAAATAATAAGTGTATTTAAATTCTATAAATATATAGAATTCAAAAAAAAAACGAGATATTTTATAAATATTTTTGTGTTTTTGAAACTTTGAAGATATCTCAACAATACTGATCCAATTTGATGAAAATTTTTTTTATTTGAATTCTATATATTCGTAGAATTCAAATAAAAAAATTAAGGAAAATTATATTTATAACACCGTGTTATATAACACCTTATATAGAATTTTTCAAAAATCATAAATATTTTAAAATTTTACTAGGGTAACCCTTGTTGTGTAACTAAGAAAAAATGCTCCTCTCGCAATTTTACATTAGACTAACTCTAAACCTATCTCTAACGCTAACCTAACCCTAACTCTAACCCTAAACTTTAGTTGCAACAACATAGTCTAAATAATAGGGTGTTATATATAACACGGTGTTATAAATATAATATTTCAAAAATTAAATTTGTTATTGAGAAATTTTGGCAGAAAATTGACGCGTCTTGTTTAGGCATTTTAAGCTACACGTAGAAAATCAATAAACCAGGCGCAGATCCTCCTACAGTACACCCACGGCAGATTCTCGATTTTGATTGGCTAACGGCCGTGATCTGCAAAATTTTTGGCCCGCATTACAAAATTGGTTACTAATTTCCGGCCGGAATTATTTTTTGATTTTTTCTTTCATTAGTAAATTCTGAGTAATTCCGGCCTAATTTTTTTGTAATCTCTCTTAGCCAATCAAAATCGAGAATCTTCCAATCAATGTTATAAATTCAAATTTTTACGTGCAAAGCGCACATTATCCATAAAGGTCACCCATCAATTTCAAAAAAATAATAGGCGCTATTAAGAAAAATGCCGCCTAACATGGTTCAATGAAATACACAGAAAACTAAGAGCATGTGCGTTGCGCGTATCCAATTTACATATTTCTACAGTAGGATTGCGACCCAAACTCTTTTTTAGTTACGGCATTTCTACTTAGTTTGGGTTTGGGAATCGGTATTTCTACCTAGTTCTGGTTCATAACCAAAACCAAAATATGTATCCC